GACTCCATGACCTCCTGATGTCTCTGTTCCGCCTGCTCCACCACTGTTCCCACTAACTGCTGTGCACCTTGATGCAATGAGCTTTGCATCTGAAGCACTGAGTCCTCTCTCTGTCTCAAACTGTCTTCTCGGCGAAGCAGCTCTTGTTTGGTCTGTTCCATCTCCTCCAACTGCTTGGAGATCTCTGGACTCACTTCTGGAGCCTTCTTGACATTGGTCTTGATCGCCTCCATCTCTGCTTGATCCCATGCAAAGAACTCGCATATCTGCTGTGGGCACTTGTAAAAATGCCTTCCCTTGGTGGCTCCTTCCTTCTTCACCCTGAGTCGATTTGCGGGAAGTCCGCACAGGCAATTGATGGAGCTCACTTTGACTGACCCCATCCCTGGAGTTGACTTCGGAGATGCCGTGGCAATCGAGGTCGTGGGAGTCCCTGGAGCCTGCATGGTCAGAGATGTCGGCACTGACTGAAGCTTCATCTGAAGTGGCGTGGTGGCAATCTTCCACCTGGAGTGGCATTCCTGACACCACACTTCGCGCTGATGTTGGTTTCCCGAAGATGCCAAACTGCTCTTCGGATGCTGGCACAAACATGCCGGTACTCTTGGAGGCATTTGACACTTCCTGGGAGGAAGTGGAATTCCATTCATTCGCAACTTCTCCAGCTCGTCCGCTTTGCTCAAATGCCCTTGAAAGACAGGCAATGGTGGCACCACCGGTGGGGATGCAGCAAGATGCTGCAATCCATAAGGCGATCCAGTGCCTTGCAAGCCCAGCACCATTCCCATGCGTTTTCTTGCCTCTTGAGTCACCTCTTCTCGATGCCGACAAATCAGCACCAGCACCTTTTCCATGATGCATCGCCATCCAGCATTCGCTCTTCGAGATTTGGGAGTCTCCTTCTCCCCATTGTCGGCTTCCTCCAGGTCCACCAATCGGCGCAGCAAGCCCGCCATGAGTTGGAAGATCGGTGAACTTGGCGCCGTTCGAATTTGAGTTTTCTGACATGGCTGCCGTAAACAAAGAAGTTCTCATGCCACTGCTGATCTGGAAGTCTTCCAACTTGATTCCTCTCACCTGTGCCTCTCTTGGGAGATTCCACCCTTCTGGTGGGAATTCAACTATGCTGATGGATGCATGGCCAGAAGGAAGAATGGACATTGGAGTGTTGGTGCCATGCTTTTTGAAACTCACTTGCTCAACGGAAAAATCAATCACTGCCCTCAACTCCCGAAGCAACTTGACCGGAATCAGCAATGGCACATCTTCTGCAACTACGGTAGCTTCCAAAATTCCATTGATTCCTCCCAGGCCCAATGGTATCTCAACTACTTCTTTCACTTTTGCCTCACCTCCTACGCCTCTTGCTTGTGCTTTTCGATCTGTTCGATTGATCTTCAAACCAAAATTTTCCAAAACCTTCTCAAGTCTTGACAGTGCTCCTTCACCCACCAGTCCAGATTGTGCTGCCGTGTCAACCAAACCAAAAGCTCCATGTGTGGCTATGCCGCAAAACGTACTGACTTGAAAATTCTTGGTGATGGTGACAAGGCTATCCGTTCCCCCTTGCTCTGAGTTGGTCACATGCACAAAACCTGACCTGCCTGACATGCTGGACGCCGGTGCACTTTTGCTGGATGCCGTTGAGTTGGCTGCACGAGCTCGGGCAAACTCATCAGGTGGACTGCTGCATTCGCGAGCCCAATGCCCAACTACTCCACAACGTGCACATCGTGTCCTCAGTTTGAGGCTTTCAATATGCACTCGACTTCCTTGGTTGAACTGGAGCCCACCACGGTTGTTGCCAATGCCAAAAGCGATCTTCCCGCTGCCCTTGCCGATGCCTTTGTTCCATCCTCGAGAAGTCTTTTGGTCTCGAATGGCTTTTCTAACCTGCTGGTAGGTGGCCAGAGCTTCATGAAGACTTTGTTCTTCAAAAATCTGATCCATGTCGCCCTCATTCATGTACACGTAATTCTCAATCTCGTGGTCATTCTCAACCTCAGATCCGAGATAGGTCTCGACAGTCTCCAAGTTCTCTGGCTCCTCATTGAGGTAGGACTTTCCGCCCCGCTCTTTGTGAACTTTGTCCAGTTTTCGCAAGGCACGAACTACCTCTTCTCTGCCATACTTCCCAGAAGTCCATGTGACTACTTGGTCTTCCTGAGTGCTGTTCAAATTGGCCTGGCGGTACGAAATGTACCCTTTGACATCATCTCCAAGCTTCACACCCTCATCCAAAAGCTCCTTGAAGGACTTGTCAACTCGGATGATGTAGTCCTGCATGGACTCCTTGGCTCTTCTCGGCTCTCCATACACCGCCTTCTCAAACGCCTTGGGCATAGCTGCCTCCAAATGAGGCTGAAAGTGCTCCTTCAGCTTTGCAATCACCAATTCTATGCCTCCCTCACTCTGCAGCTGCTCCACTGACAACTCATCAGCTGCAGCAAGAGCGGTTCCGCTCAATTGGCGAATGACTTTCACCGCATGCTTCAACTTGGGGACGTCCGTCTCCCACCGCCACAAGGTGAGATCCCGAAGGTACTGCTTCAAGGCATCAGGATTCGTTCCATCGAATGCCGGAGGGGGATCTCTATCCTTAGAGGTTCCCAAAGGTCCATTAGATGCCGCCGACGACTCTTCGTTGGCAGCCATTGCTCAGATCGGTGTGGCTCCGCTGCCACTGTGTGACAGCAGGAGCTCTGACAAACGGAAAAATGGCACCTATGCAAATGCTCGCATGCACTTCACGCTTTTTCGTAGCGATGTGCCCCCTGAGCCGTATGGCTTCTGTGCAACACCTGATTAGTGCAAAAGGGATGACATGAGGTCAAAGGTGGAATGTTCATGATGACACTGCACAGCTTGATTCACAACTACGATAGTACGATGTAATACATAAATCATTTATAAATTAAATCTATATAATATTAAAATATAACTACTACTATATATATATATGAGTATAATATATCGTAACATGTTATGTATCATACTGTATATCTATCATCCATCATTTCTGTGTAAAAAATATATCGTTGATCATCACGTTGATCATCTATGTATCGTTGGAATGCGTCTGGAATGTGTACAATGCAACGTCAGGCAAGCTGGCATGAGTAAAACACTCTAAATATGCACTCTTTTGATCTTTCATGTAGTGCACTGTAAGTGGAGTGCATTGGACTGGAATGGACAGCAATGCACGGTATTGCAGTGCAATGCAATGTGTTGTCCTGTCTGTAAATCAACGTCTGTAAGGTATGCATGTGATCTTGGTCATGACGTACGTAGTGGATATAACAAAGGCCGTTCAAATGTAACATGATGCAGCGTTACTTTGTATTCTGACGCAACATGTTGTGATGTGTTTTGATGTAACTATGTGATATTTTGTGTTTTTTGTGATTTGCCATAAGACTCTTTTAACACTGCCGGGTACCATGCGGTGTAATGCTCTGTATAGCTGTGAGGTTGTTTTGGACGACGCAGCTCTCAGTGAACTTTGGAAACTCAGCCGGGGGCTGTGGTCCGAACGACACACAAAGAGGAAGAACTTTGAGACTGATCGGAACGAATCGGAACGGATTGGAACATTCATGAACATTGAAGCAAACACAGAACAAACGGGTAGTTCCCAGAAGATTCAGGTGTTTGCCGAGTCTACTTAAGTTTTGATCATTTTTGATCCACATTGGTCGAAAGGATGCCGAAGGGCTTGCAATTTCTTTTCTTTCCAGAGTGATTCGTCTATTTCTTTGTCGTGGCCGCTGCGAACTTCGCACAGGCAGTGAACTAGTTCGCTTAGACCCTCGCTGCGAGGGTGACACATGTGATGCGTTTTCGTGAGAAGCAACCAGGGAAACAAATTGAAAGCAACCAGGGCATTCCTTTAAATTGTTTTGTTCGGATATGTAGCTGTTTTGTCCAATGTTTCAAATGTTTTGGTTGCCAGTGACATTTTCCTGACACACGTCTTATCTTGTCTTATCTTAGAATTGACTTTTTGTGATCCACCCTTTTTGTTGGAACCCTGCACTTTTGCAAGTCGTCAATATGACGAAGACTACATAGACATCCCGGACGCTCCTAAGACGGGAGGCTTCCAAAAACCGTTGTGTTGCTTGAAAATGGGCACCATTGCAACTCACGTTCTGAATACTTCACCTTGAAACATTTTTGACATTTTTTGACCATTCTAGTGTTGGTGCCTTTCAAATCCAAGCTGTAGAAGGAATGGCTTGATCTGAAGATTGTGCCAGCTGGATTGGGAAGTCAGACACGGGGCAGAAACAGGTCAGAAACGGGTCAGAAACGGGTCAGACATGGGCCAGAAACGTGTCAGAAATGGGTCCGAAACGGGTCAGAACTGGGTCAGAAGCGGGTCAGAACCGGGGCAACTTCTTTTTTTCGGTTTTCGGCTTTCAGTTTTCGCCCTTCCGCGTTCGGCTTTCGGTGGTTGTCGCCTTTCGGCGTTCGGCTGTTGGTGTTTTGCTTTCAGTGTTCCGGTGTAGGTTCGGTTGTAACTCTGTTGCTGTGCACCAAGCGGGACACACACACACAATCACACACAGGTTTTTTTTTGGAAGCATCGGTTTCTTGAGTCTGTGATCACACAGTACATGTTTGACTACAAAGGCTACACTTTACCCATGTTGCAGGCAAGTATGGCAAACTTCCAGCACCACATTTGCACGGGCTGTCTAACGGGTCAGAATGGGTCAGAAACGGGTCGGAAATGGGTTAGAAACGGGTCAGAAATGGGTTAGGAACGGGTCAAAGTATTGTTTTCGGTTTTTTGGCTTTCGGTTTTCGTTCTTCGGTTTTCGGGTCTTGCTTGCCTAACTGTCTGCTTGGCTTTCGGACCTCGGCTTTCGGTTTTCGGCTCTCGGCTTCCGAAGCGGTCCTCTTGCTCTTGTCTCCTCATCGGTCTTCGGCCTTCGGTCTTCGCTTTCGGTTTTCGTGCCTTGAATCCAACCATGCCCCAGACTCTCCGGATCATGTCTCGCTATCTGTGGCCAATCGGTCAACATTGTTTGCTTTTTGGCTCAGTAGCAGCCCAGCAGGGCCTACGTTTTTTTTCCATTCGCAAACAGCGCTTTGAGAGGACCAGCTGTGTGTTGGTGTCGTATCTGGACCAGTGTGTTTCCTAGAGTCAAAGGAATCTCAGGATGCGCAAGGGTTCCTGCCAATAGAGTCTCAGATATTTTGTGTATCTCTGGGGTGACCGAGATATCCGAGAGCGCAGGCTCCAATGTAGCTGAAACATCTTGAAACTGCTGCCTTCATCGCTGGTCATTTCAATAATTTGGAAACCTTTGGACACCTTGGTCCAAACCTTGGTCGACACATTCTGAATATTTCTGAATTCTGAACAGTTCGTGAAAGAGTTTGTTTTTTCAGGACCATGGTTGCCATGGCCATGGCCACTGTGCCGGTCCTGGCCTTCTCGGCCTTGTCAGTCCTCAGTTTTGCGTCTGACGACCTGGACACGTTGGACACGTTGGACAAGGTGCATTCGCTGTGCATTCGATGTGCATTCGATATGTCGATATGCATTCGATATGTCGATATGCATTCGATAAGGAATATCATGGATTCCATGTACGTCCGTGAGTTTCAGACGATGTGAATCGATGTGAATCCGAAACACAGCCCTACGCACTTGAACGAAAACATTCACAGTTCTTTCCAGAATGCTTGCTCTTGGCTGCGTGAGCTTTACATCTGCACAGGTTCTGGCTGGCTATGAAGAGGGCAAGAAACCCAGACATTTGCAAGATGTTGCAAGAGGGCATTCCAAACGTAACCGACGTAACCATAACATGACTCGGAGCTGATGAAACTTCGCTCGTGCTTCTGGGTGCCGAGGCCTCAACTTGCTGCAAAGAAAAAATCAGAGACAGACAGTGCGAATGCAGGTCCCCAGCTGAACCAGCTTAACCGGCTGAACCGGGGGGGGACCCAAGAGAAACACAATGACAACATATTTTTCCCAGGAGCATTTGTTTCAAGACTTTTCAAGCATGAGAGCTTCAAGGCATCAATTTTACAAATAACAACTAAGTTGTTCACTTGATGAAATCCGTCAAGAATCTGCAGATTCCGAGCGCAGGGTGCATGACATGCATGACATGCATGACATGCATGACATGCATGACATGCATGACATGAATGACATGCATGACATGCATGTCATGCATGACAGGCATGACATATGCATGACATGGCTAGTTGATGCTAGTTGATGCTAGCTGTGAACTCAAAGCATGAAGCCTAAGAAACCAAAGAAACCAAATTTCTTCTTGACCGCAGTGACTGCAGCATCAACTGCGGTGTCGTGTTGGGTCGATTTGGGTCGCTGTATCCAGTATTCTCCAGTTGTGTCAGTTCTCTGCCAATTCGTGTCACGAGGAGCAGCATGAAGCCAGCAGCAATGAAACAGCCATGTGGCAAGGTGCAAGAGAGACAGGCACACCCTGCAACAGACCGGGCTTGTGCACTTTCACCTCACTCGTGCATTGATTTTCCTTCTTTTCGACTCTGCTACTTTCCACTCTCCACCTTCTCTGCATCCTACTGCCTCATTTTGTGTTATTTTGCACGTTCTTATTTTGTTGGATGTTTTGATATGTTTTGCAGTTGTGCCGAAGTTGTGATGTTTTGATGTTTGTTTGATGTTTGCATGTTGTTCTGTTGTTTTCCCAGGCAACATTTGCATGTGGTCCAACTGCGAGCAGAGCCTCGGTCCCACGGAATGTTACCATTTTCGCTGTGTTTGCCAGGCCAGGGCAGTGCGGGCAGTGCAACGAAGATCTACTGTGTGTGATCGAGTCAGTTTTAGAGCTTGCAGATTTACAACATTTTACAGATTTTACAGATCTTACTATATACTTTACTTTAGAAGATAGAAGGCCGTTCGAAGATCCATGGCCGTCCATGGCCTTTGATCAGAACTTGATGTGCCATGGAATTTGGTCACGGACAGTACAGGGGTGACCGGTTTCGCCAGATGGATTTCGTCTACAGCGAACGAGTAAAACAATGTGTTCATCGCTACACACCAGAAGGAAGAGAGGCCGGGGGTAAGTTAAAATTTGGGCCGGTCCTTTGTCAGAGAAACGCCAAGTGGTATGATCAAAAGGAGACTACTTCAAAGATTAGTATTTCAATATTTCTGATGATGTGACTCATCCAACTTGACATACACCCAACATCAAACGTTGTTGAGCTATACGGAACAACTGGACGTAGTTGTCAATACTTCACGTTGTGTGAATCCTTCTTTGGTTTTGGCGCGAGAAATACGTGCTGTGGCTAGGTCCCATGTCAAAGGGGCATGGGCAAATGGCCATAGATGGGGATCTGTCTGAGGAGCAGTGTTGAACATGAGACATGAACATTCCATCCAAGTTGCAAATGAAATTGGAGCTCAATTCCCAAGACATATTGAGATTAATTAATTATTGAGTTAGTATGTTGGACGTTGTGACGTTGTGTAATTCCTACATCACTTGCCCTTGGAAGCATGGAAATTTCGCCATCGTCAACATTCTACAGTGAATCATCGATGATTTCTGCAGGAACACTTGCAATTTGCAATTGATATCCATCATGGATTCTGGAAGTTCTGGAAGTTTGAAACTGAAAAATTAAGTTGATATCATAAAAGATTTAGACATGCCAAGACTCAGTGAAGATTTGCTGCGTTGCAGGTGGTGTTGCCTCAAGACACTGGAGCAACGTGTGACTTGGCAGATCTTGGATGTTCCGTGCACGAAAAACTGAGCAAAGCCATGGGGTTGTGACTTTTGTGACGTGACAGAATTTGATCATTGCATTTCCTTGCAGCTCTTTTTGCATTCGTGTTGATGACACTATTTGCGTTCCCTTTGCGTCGGCATTTGAGCCCTTTTCTTGGATGTTGCATGTTTTTGACATCGAGGCTATTTCAATGACTGCACTGCCAAATTCACGGTTTGCTCAGACTCGAAGTTGGAAGCCTTAGCATCAATAGCTTTCTTCTCAGACTTTTATATAGAAGACAGATGGTTCGGGGAATGGTTGGGCGGCTCACATTTCTGAGATGGCGGCTGCTTTATCTGAAGGCTATGAGACTTTAAATAGGGAAAAAAGGTTTCTCTTCGCTTTTTTGGACAGTTTGCCCCTGGCTGCATGTCAGTTGTCACCTTTCACAGTCTTTGTTTCTGCTTGTGCGACTTCGTTGAGAACGCGGTTTCAAAGCCAAGAAATGACTTGCTCTTTCATTAGGACAAAAAACAGCATGGAGCCATTCAAAGGTCGAGAGAAGTCTAAGCATGAAGAGGTACAGAAGGGACATAGAACAAATACTCGTAGCATCTCGTAGCAATAAAGGCGAAATATGTTCCAAAGATTCCACCTTTAAAGGAAGAACAAGTCCCTTGCAGCCTTACAGCTGCTGCTGTAGCTACTCGCTTTGGTAAGAGGGAACCACTATGAACCACTGGTGAAGCTTCTAAAAGACAGTTGAGAGCATTTTCCCTCTCCCGCAGCTCCCGCATCGTCCTTTCATTTCCTCATACCCGCATACCCTATCCCAAACCGTCCCGAACTGCACAAGCTTTTTCCTTTTCGGTCTTACGGAGCAGGGGATGACTGCAGTAATTCAGCCCAAGTGCAGCACAAGCAACGACTGATAAAATCGGCTGAACCGCCAGTCGGTCCGTCTCTGTTGCTTCCCTTTCTAGCTTTAAGGTTGTTTCGCAGTCATTTTTAGAGGTGCTGCAAAGCGAACTCTTGGAATTTTGCCGCTTTCGGTCAGACAACCACAAGACTTCACCAACTCTTTGACTGCTAGAGCTGCTAGAGTTCTGATATCTTGGCTGCATGGCCTCCATGGTGTCGATCTGCTCTGAGGTGCCTTTGCATTCCCGGCTTTGTTTACCTGGCCGGTCAAGGACTGCGATCTAAACGAGTGGTACATCAAAAGGCATTCAAACATCATTTAAATAAATAAATAAATATATATATATATTATATATTAATATATTTAAATCATCACAACACTGAAATGTTGACTGCTTTTTGAATGCTTCCTTTTTTCTCAAAAAAACATTCAATAGCAATGAAGGTTTTATATGGTTTCATGGTGAACGATCTTTGAATTGTGATCTTCGATGCTTCCTTCTCGCACTAGTGGCTTCAAATGTGACACATCAGGAAACATTCTTCATGTCTTCGATTTTGTTCGGACCTTCTGCGAATGGAGTAGTATGTATGCCAAGTATGCCATATCTATCATCTACAGTGTGTACATCTATATACTAGTATGTATGCCATTGGCCTTTCCAATCTGTGACTCTATGAGCTGACTGGACCAGGGCCTTGAACTTCAAGTGAATGTTTTGAACTGGAACCATTCCTCAACGGCCACGGAGGCATAGGTTCTGTGAAATCCGATGAAATCCCAGCGTGTACAGACAGACAGGCAGGCAGACAGACATCCATCCATCCATCCATCCATCCGTACGTACGTATGCACATGTATACACATGTATAATCATGTATACACATACATGTTTTGCACACACACACATGTACATATTATAGTTTATCGCTGCGTAAAAAATGTTATGTCATGTCTGGATTATTGGCAAAGGAACCGTCATTGCACGGTCATATCTCATTATCATTTTGCTTAGGTCTCAAGATGCATCATCACACTCATAGCGCTATCATTTTTCTGGTAATCTACAGTCTGACAAAATATTGATAGAAACATATAGAAACTAAGTTTATCAGATAGCACATCTTGATACATCTTGTAGAACCCCCGAAAGATTCCCGGAGGTTGTTTTATTGTTTCTTCAATCTTTGCAGCTTGAACCCATTGAACCCGGCAAGGAACATATGGTGGTTGCCAGCGTGATCCGAACCTCTTTCCACCGAATCAACACTGGTCACAAAGCGATGACTTGCACAGATGGCAGGTGGATTGGGAGGGGAACCGGGGGAAGGGAAAAATCGGAGAAGGATGGAAACCAACAAGAGATGATCCACTGAGTGAGTCCACACTGCCCAAACCAGTTGTCTTGGAGGGAGGTCCAACTGCATTTGCTTGCGAATGAACAGCAAAGGATCCCGGTTATATATTTTGGACGATGAAGCATGAAGAACATATGGTTATACAAATCCACAACTCTTAAATACTCTTAAGATAAAGTCTGAGGAGGAATTAGAAAGGAGCAGAAGCTAGCAAGAACACAGGAATACACCTTGCATAGACTAATGGATGATGCACATGTAGACCCGAATAAGTAATAGATAAGTTTAAGTTTATACAACATATACACATACAGACACAATATGCTTGTAACAAGAGTCAGACGTGAAGAGCAGCCGAGAAGGCCAAAAGAAATTGAAGGATAGAGAAACTGAGAGAGAAGACCGTAAGATGCGAGACTTGAAGAACAGAGAGAGCATAAATGTAGTCAGGCGCTATCCTATCAGTTGGCCGTTCCCTGCACTTCGCGGGGCACAGAGTAATCATTTTCCTAAATGAAGGGCAAATGCATTTGCATTTTGTACGCACACATTTTTGATGGGCAAAGAGAGAGTGCATCTCACAGTTGGAGTCTTATTGTCTTCTTTTGTTGAACGTATTGCACACATAGTGCACGTACTTCACCTAGTCTTTGTTGAAACATCCTTCATGGTTTCGTGCCAGGAGCAACAGCAGCATCAGCAGCAGCAGCAGCAGACCACTTCCGCGCCGCAAAGTTCAAGGGCTTCTTGCGGCCAACATCCAAAATGCGCAGGCTGGAGATTCATTGGAGACTCAGTGGAGATTCATTAGAGACTTGGGTGTCTTCATTCTGAAGCTGCATATTCTTGTGAATTGTAGTGTGATGAGTGTGATGTCTGATGTAATTGATGCAATGGGTGTAGGTACTCTGAGTGTGCAGTGTTACAGTTTGACCGATAGCTTTCCCGCTTTCTGATCGGTTTGGGACCTGGGATGGGCAGGAGACATGCTATAACTCTGTCAGGTTTAGCAGGAGACTGCTGCCCGAATGGACTGGGCCTCAGCCTGGCCTGCTGCAATTGAACGGTCCCAAAGCGTGATCCGAAAAATCCTAATTGGCTTGGCTGAACATGCCAGCCTCTTTCGCCTCTTTAGCATCTTTCGCCTCTTTGGCCTTGCACACTTGCTTAACAGGCAGCGAGGAAAAAGAACACTTTGACCGAAATCGCAGCGACGGCATACTTTACCCGATGCAGGACATGAACTATACACTATCATCTAGTACGTACTAAAAGGGGTCTTCCAGATCCCACGTGATGAACTGCACAGGTGCAAGTGCATCTTGCAAGATCTTGCAAGCACCTCTGTCATTTCCGAAGGGTTGCATAAGTTGTGACAGTTGTGACATTTGCATGAAAGATGTGTTCTGTGGCATTTCTACACATCGACATCAACTAGCCCACTTCCACTTGAGGATGCCCGAGTATAACTATAGGGGAGCAACTGATCAGTGAAGCCTGAAGTGTCACAAGCCAATGTCACTATCGGTTCCAACAGAAGGGTTGCAGTAAGATTTCGAAGTGAATCTCAGTCGGTGGACAGACCAGACTGCTCAATTGTGTTGAACATGTTCGACATTTGCGTTCATTCTTAAGGATTTGAATTCAGCAAACATTTGATTGCTTCAGAACCTGATCCAAGTTGTACTGCGGCAGGTGAACACGGATTTCGCATTTGCAAATTACAGCGCATGCTGATTGGTGGTCTGATGTAGAGGTAAGACATGGTTGAGAAAAGTAATCCGGCGCTCTTTGGCAGTTTCGTTGTTTGGTACAGTGAATTCTTTGTGCGAATCAGATCATTTAGCATAAGTCAGCGATTTGCACAACAGAGTATCAAACGCTTACACATGCATTATGCCAGTGGCATGATCAGCGGCCAAGTGCATGGGCAGAAGGCAAGCTGGAAGAATGGATGTTTCTTGGCTGAAGTTTAGGCTAGAATTTGAGATCCACAGATTTTGGTCATTCAGATTTGGTCATTCGTTTGGGCCATTCTTTGTTTTGGGTGATTGTAACATATTGTAACTCTGTGGCACTGTGGAATGCAAAGCGACGTAGCAGAAGACCAATTCGGTCGCTAGCAGCAGCCTCGTCGTGAAAATAGCGTTGATTCAAACGGGCACACTGCAACTCTATTTTTTAGCATTCAAACGCTCGGGCGTGAACATTTGACCGTTTCACCGGAAATTTGTGTGAGGCTAGAAGTTCAGAGGCCAACAGGCAGTAAGAGTTGCTATTGTTTCCTATACCGCCTCATTAGACAATTCCGCGCACGTCTCCAAAGGATGAAAGACGCGACACTATATTGTCCCTTATCATCCGTTGCCCCTGTTCCGTCATCTTGTGGCATCTCACAGCACCCGTAGCCGTAGCAGCCGTAGCAGCATGGCAGCACCAGGAAGAGCTTTGTCCTCGTCTTTGTCCTCATTTGTTAACGTTTGGATGAAAGGGTTGATTCTGGCTCGACACACGGAAAACCATGGTGCAAAACATGCCGGACAAGGAAAAAGCGTTGACATTTTGGGGCCCATCTCGGTGCCCTTCAGGCCGCCCAAGTGTTGCGGGGCCCCGGGATATGGAGTAGATGGAGTCTGGTCAATGGAGTCAGTGATAATCAGATCTATGTGTCCACCATGACTTTCCAGCCTTCTTGGCAAATGGGACCCCCTTGAATCCGGTTGAAAAGATTATTCAGCATGATTGCTATGAATGTACTAGTCCAGATTGCGAACAGAGTTGACGCATTTTGAAGACACATTTTTTGATCTTGCTGCCTCTGGAAGGTGCTAATAAGTTCCAATGGCGTCGTGACCAAGAGCTCCACCAATGGCAGCCTTCAGATGAAGTTCGCTCCTGAGCTTATCCCGGGTCTGCTGTGGAGATTCATGATGGGCAATGAGGCGATGATTGATGAAGCAAACCAGGCACCGGAATATACACAAACCGTGACAAACCTGGTAACTGGGAATTTACCATAAGAGATACGTTTCACAACTGGGAGATGGAATTTATCATCAGGCACAGGCCCTTTAACAACTGCAACGTAGACATGCCGTTTCACAAGTGAGAATTTGGCATGAGGGACACGCTGTTTAACAACTGGTGGCTGGAATTTGCCATCAGGGAAAGGTTGTTTAACCATGTTTAACTATTGGCGCACGAAATTTTATCAGGAATCAGGGACAAGCTCTTGAACAACCGCGACATGAAAGTGATTGGATACAACATGACACCCACACTGTTCCGCAGCAGAGCACGCCAGAGCACAAGACACAAACAAGACTGAACAGCACACGTTACATCGCATATCGTAGCACAACGCAGCATGCCGCAGTACGCATGGAGCACCGCAACGGAAGACAACGCGGGATGGGAACGCGTAGCAAGGCTGAAACAGCCTGGCATGATATCTTTCGCTACGCTAAGTATAGCTGATACCTCGAGCAAAACCATAGATCTTAAAGCAAAACCATAGACTCGCTATCATAAAGATCTTAAAGCAGAGTCTACGGAGTCTATGGAGTCGACATTTTGGTGGGACCGAGGCAGTCGGGTACGTTGGGGGGTGCAGGAAACTACACACTTTCCAGTGCCTTTTGCTCGAGACATACCTGCTGAACAAGTCAAAACACCTCCGCATTTCACTTTCCCTAGAAAGGTTTCGGAGACTTTAAACCACTTGAGCCAACGCTTAAACCATGTAAAAGCTCATGAACTCCTAAGAACTTCTAAGAATTTCTAAGAAGTTAACTAAGATGACAAGTTGTCAACGGGACTGGACGACTTCAGACGGCCCTGAGGCTTTGATCACTTTGATCCCTCCATCGCAGCTGGCAGCGAGGTAACGGAGCAAAGGTTGCAGCTGAAGCCAAATTGCCTGCAGGACCTGCAGGAAGCTGAAACTATAGGTGGCATCTGGCAGACATCTGGCAGACATCTGGCAGACATCTGGCAGAATTGTTTTCGCTTTGAGCATTCTTTGTGGGTGAGCTCAAGCGGAATAAAACCTTTAACATAACAAAACAGACTATGCCTCTACCGCTTACAGTCCCTCTTTAAAACGCTCATGCTGGTTTACGCCTGCAAAATGCCATTTAGGGGGCCCGGCCTATTTGATAGATGGATTGGCCGGCTGCCTATAAAAGTGTCTGGTGGTCGGGTGTGTCGTCGGTGGCCGGGTGGCCGGGTGGCCGGGTGGCCGAGTGGCGGGTGGCCGGGTGGCCGGGTGGCCGGGTGGCCGGGTGGCCGGGCAAGCCTGCGCAGCAAAAGAAGAGCAAGTAGCGTAGCAAATGCACATGCAACAGACGAGCCAGTAGCGTAGCAGCAAGTCTGCGTGCACATACTTAAGTAGTGTATCAGCAAGTCTGTGATTTATCTATCTAGTTGTCCATTCTTTCTATTCGCTCTATTCGTTCCAATCTATTTATCTTGCTAACCATCTAATCTACTCTACTCTACTTCACTCTAATCTAATCTGAACTAGTCTAAACCAATCTAATCTAATCTAACCAAATCTAATCTAATTTGCCTACGGCCTATTCCACTTACGCTAGGCTCTAATCGATCTAATCAGTAAAACCCTGAATCTAATCTATCTAATCTATCTAATCTATCTAACCTCTCCATCCTTTTACATCAATCTAGTCTATCCAATAGATCTAACCCATCTACTTTGTCTAATCTACCTACTCTACCTCATCCATCTAGCCAATCTACGCTACCCAATCTATCTAATCTATCTAATCTACCAAACCGATCTACTTTACCTAATCCATCTAATCTATCTAACCTATCTAATCTATCTAGAATCAATCCATCCATCCATCTGTCTATCTAGCTATCTATCTATCCATCGATTGATCCATAGATCGATCGATCTGTCCATCTTTCTAGGCTGATCTTTCTAAACCCAACTTGACAATCAATCGATCAATCAGGCCTACCAATCTATCTACCTATCTTGCTTTCCACCTACCTAATCTGATTAATCGTCCTAATCTGTTGATCAATCTAACTACCAATCCTACCTCATGTAGCTAACCTGCCTAATCGATCTAATCTTTCTAACCCACCTACACCTAATCGATCTAATCTATCCAGCCACCCTATACTCTATATAATCGACCTAATCTATCTAGCGTACCTAATCTAGCTAATCTGGCTAGTCTAGCTGATTTATCGATCTAGACATCTTTCTTCTCCATTCTTCAAATGATTCTATTTCTACCTCTTTTTCTATGCCTATTTCATTCTTATGCATCCAACCGTATTCCATTCTAGTCTGTTCTATGCTGCTCTATTTTGTTCTACTCTATATCCATCAAACCCGCCTAGTCGATCTAATCTACCTCATCTAACCTATCTACTCTATCAAATCGATCTCATCTATCTACCCGATCAAATCTATCTATTCCATCCAGTCAATCTAGTCTACATAATCTTTCTAATCTTTTCAATCTATCTTCTCTATCTAATCTATCGCACCTTTCTATCCACCTATCCATCTATCCGTCTATCCGCCTACCCACTTATCTATCTATCTATCTATCTAACTATCTATCTATCCATCCATCCATCCATCCTTCCACCTATCCATCTACCCACTTATCCACCTATCCATCTATCCACCTATCCATCTATCCGTCTATCCACCTATCTATCTATCTATCTATCCATCTATCTATCTACCTATCTACCTATCTACCATTCTCCCTATCTACCTATCTGTCTACGCATCTATCTATCTATCCGTCCATCGATCCAAACATCTATCTTCTACCTAGTTATCCGTCAATCTATCAATCTATCAATCTATCAATCAACCTATCTATCTATCTATCTATCCATCTATCCATCTATCCATCTATCCATCTATCCATTTATCCATCTATCCATCTATCCATCTATCTAATCTGATCTCATTTAATCTAATCTATTCTATTCTATTCTATTCTCTTCTCTTCTATTCTATTCTATTCTAATCTATTCTATTCTATTCTATTCTATTTATCTATCTATCTTGTCTATCTCATCGATCTTATCGATCTTACCTATCTTACCTATCTTACCTATCTTACCTTTCTTACCTATCTTACCTATCTTATCTATCTTATCTATCTTATATATCTTAACTATCTTTTC